TTTCACGTGGAAGCTAAGCGGTATACTAACTGTACAATATATACTGACTCTCTTAGCTCTTTGTTGGTGCTGGAATCACTATATACGAGTTCTCACATAGATTTGTTTGGATATTCTAAAACGACTGGCTCACTTCTCTTTGTCATCTATTTCTCTAGATTCTTTGCCACGTCGGTATTCATGGGAATGAGCTTGCTGACTCTGCATATAAATCCATCTGATCTGGCATTGTCACAGCTCTGCCTGTCCCTTACGTGGACTATAGATCTGTGATCAAAGCATGACTTTACGATAGTTCGCAGTCATATTGGAATGAGCAACTTCCTAACAAGTATTTTCAGTTAAAACCTACTGTTGTTGTTTGTCTATCTAGTTCCCGAAAAGATTGGAGGAAGTTGTCTTGTCTCCGTTACTCATTGGCCACTGTTTCGTGACTCGTCGTTTTCTTCTGCAGGGGTCGGATCCATCAAAGTGTGGGCTTTGTGACACTCGGGTTACTATTACTCACGTTTTACTTTCGTGCCGTCGCTACGACTGCGAACAGCGACACCATTTTAGACGTTTTTTCTCGAACTTTACCTCTGATGATGGACAGTGTCATTGGCGATGGTGACATTGTTCAGATTGGTCGTGTTTTTAGCTATTTACGAGCCATTGACATTTTTACTTCTATTTAATTTTTAGCGTTCTTTCACGACAAAACAATAGCACATTTGGTCTTTTTTATTTCTTCTACCATTTGTTATATTTGTTTTTTTATATTTTTTCTTTTTAGTGTTCTGTTCGGCGCAGATAGCCTTAGTACTTTGCGGCATAAAACACCAAGCAACTAACCAATCCATGTCAGACGAAAACACAATAAGTAAATAATACTTCCTAGGGTAAGTTGTTCAACTTGAAGGCATGTTGTTTTGTGAAGTTTTTCATTTTTCATAAATATTTGATAAGAAATTAATGAAGCACGATTGATTAATCGTGTCTTTCTTTAGCTGAGACAAATTTAAGAAATTTAAAGAGTTCATTGTAATATTTTAGCAATTGCTTGAAATGAAACTTCGGTTTAGGATTAACGAGAATCTAAAAAAATAAATAAATACGGGGTTTAGTAGGCACGACCCTTTCAGTAGCATCAACACTGGTATCATTGCATCTTATTGACATGTTGAAGACAGCAGTGATGTAATCGCAAAACAAATATAAATTGATATTTTTTTAATAATTGTTCACTTAATTTTATTCTTTCAATTACAGTTTATTAAATATACAATTCGCTCATGGGCATCCTCAGTGGACCACTCTCCCCCTGGAAAATGATAAATATATTTGTTTCTTTATTCATTCAGTACATATACATGTATATTATTTTGATATAGATTTTAGAATTCGTAATGCTCCCACCATAATTACAGTAACTAAGGGCATAACATTTTTGGAATAGTCCATATAAATGCACTTAGTTATCTATCTTTATCGAGGAAGATAGGGGCACAGATCCCTTCCTATACCCTGTTTGATGTCTACTGTATACTACATAGTCAGCAATACCTGAAGAGTAGGTACTACTAACTTCCAACTGATTTAGCAATTTATATATGGGCTGAAGGTCTCCCACGCTACCTTTACAGTGTACCTTAACTAAGTTAGATTTAACTAACTTAAAATAATCATATGTTTGTACATGTATTTTTTCTCTAAAATATGGAGAATTAATGAGTTTTTTTACTAAGCATATGGCAATAGATGATTTTATTTTTCAATGTGTGCATGTTAACTGATCAACCAAAGTACTTGTGGATAAGGTTTCTTTCCTTTCTAAACCAAAGTGCTTGTGGATAAGGTTTCTTTCCTTTCTAAACCAAAGTGCTTGTGGATAAGGTCTCTTTCCTTTCTAAACCAAAGTGCTTGTGGATAAGATTTCTTTCCTTCCTAAACCAAAGTGCTTGTGGATAAGGTCTCTTTCCTTCCTAAACCAAGTACTTGTGGATAAGGTCTCTTTCCTTCTAAATCAAGTACTTGTGGATAAGGTCTCTTTCCTTACTAACCAAAGTGCTTGT